ACACACACACACACACACCGGGGTCGTCGCAATATGCGTTTTCGCATTTGCATATATGCAAAAACGTATAAGTAGCACAAAATCACGTCGTAAGATTTCAGTTTTCCATCTTGTCTGGTTTCCGAAATTCCCACTACAAAATTTTATCGCCGCAACTTTTTATGCGTTTTACGTTGTGTAACAGCAACGCAAAACGTGCGTGTGTGTATGCATGTGTATATGTATACGTTTCCGAGTGCATTTTGTCTCACACTTTCAAAGCGGGAATCACAAGAGTTAGGAAGCTGAAATTTTAGCAGAATGCTCCCCACGCACGTGTGACACCGCAAATTTAAAGCCAGCCTTCTCGCGCGTGCGGGTATCATGTACGGCCCCGTGAAATTTTTGGTGGGGAAAATTATTATCTCGGGAACCACAGAAGCCAGGAAGCTGAAATTTAATGAGAATGTTTCCTGCCCGCGTGCGACCCCCAAATTCGAATTCGTCTTTTAAGTAAGCTGGATTTCACCCATGGCCCTATGAAAGTGTTGACGGGAAAAATTACTATTTCGAAAGCCATAAAAGATAGGAGGCTGAAATTTTGATAGAGCTTCCTTTGCCCCCATGCGATCTCGCAGATTCAAATTCAGCTTCCACGTACGCCCAGGTTTCAAAAAAGAAAAAAAAACGACCCCACGAAAGTTTGGTGGGGAAATTATTATCTCGGAAAGCAGAAAATCTGCGAGGCTGAAATTTCAGCATGTTTTCTTCTTATGCAGAGCTTAAATTTTTAAATTTAGCCCCTGGGTGTTCGTGGTTCATAAGTACAGGCGCGTAAAAGATTTGACGGGGAAATTGTTAACTCGCAAGTAAAAATAGAGAACTGAAACCCCTACAGAGTTTCATTTCTCTATTCTATCTGGTTTCCGAGACCGCTTCCTACCAAAAAATTTGCATATTTTTCTGAAGCGTCCTCACGCGCAACCTAGACATACGCGGATGTTGATATTACAGCAGGAAACTTGTACAAGTAGTAGACACATATTCCCCAAGTTTCAGCTTTTCTGGTTTTCGAGTTGAAAGTGAGTGACAAAAAATGCGGATACACACGGCCTCTTGCCAGTATGCGTTTTTGTATTTTTATATATGCAAAAACGCATATTGTGACGACCCAACGGTGCGTGTGTATGTGTGTGCACGTGTGTGTGCGTCCGTACGGGTATTTCAACTTGGCAACTAAAGCAAACTTCGGTACTGAAATTCTGCCAGAGGGCTCCCCGACCGAGTGCTATTCCAGCACAACAGTACTAGCCTTCAAGCACGTCTGGGCTACGCGTACAAAAACACGAAACATGTGGCAGAAGAATTGCTAACTCTGTAACCGGAATAGCTGGGAGGCTGAAATTTTAAGGAGATATTTCCCATCCAAGCACAAAATAAATATTTCGAATTCAGTTTCTAATTGCGCATGATGCTCACGCACGGGCACATGAAAGTTTTGGCGGAAAAATTGAAACTTTAGCGGAATGTTCCCTGTTCAAGTATAAGTTAAAGGTTTCAAATTCAGTTTTCAGTATGCGTGGTTCTCACGTACATGCACTTAAAAGTTTAGGTGGGAAAATTGCTCCTGAACAGCTAGGTAATTTTCAAGGGAAAACCGCTAAATGGAAATTGTTCATTCTCCTTTGTGCAAAATATACGACGATTTACGCTAGTGAGTGCAAAAAGCAGATGTAAAGCAATAACGAATCATGCAGTTAACGACTTGATTACTTCGACCTTAGTGCAAAAACGTATGATCGCACCGGCAAACCTAATGATTGCATTTTGCATATGTGCAAAAACATATAAAAATAGTTTTCTGGGCAGTCTACGAAGAAGTAGTGCATACTGGTTGAAAAGTAGCGGGTACTAACTGGAGATATGTAGCTCTTAGCCAAGACCTATAAAGGTGCATCCGGCACATAGGTGTTCCAGTAGTATCACTCACATCGGATTCTCAGATCAACCATTTTGGTAACACATACAGCATTATTGATACTGCTAAGGTTATGTCAAAATGAATCATGTTACTGTTTCCAATCATATATTTCTCTCTTTCCTCCTTCGAAATGCTTTCTTCTGGTTTGTTTGGTCAGTTTTTCATCTGCCCGGTGATGCTACGTAGAATCTACTTCATTTCGCTGGCCTAGCTGATCGCTCTCCCGCGCTGGCTGCGCAATTTGCATGATTTCTATATAGATGGAATGCATTTGCAAATGTAACTATTGGTTTCCCTTTCGCAGAACAAAAGATTTCCAAGCGGCTTAGGATGACGTACGGCAACTGCATAAATTTACTGTTTATTGTCCCTATGAGGGAAGGAGGGGAGGGGGAGAGAGTGGGGAGGAAAGCCACTTCAGTCCAATAACAATTCTGGATCAGCATTGGTCAAAGAGCAGTGTTGCATTTAAAAAGGAGCGATGCTATGCATGCGAGAAACACATGCACCTCACACTTCTTTCATCTTCGACTCGCGACAGCAACACCCTCGACGATTCCCGCGCTCCTTCAAAAAACTCACAAACGCGGTACTGTAGACTGGCCTTGACGAATATCCAAGTATTATGGGGGAGGGGGACACCTCATATCCTGTGCGTCCATTATGCTTATGTGCTATTAATAGTAAATTTGTTGTCAGGTGAGAATTTGCAAAATGATAACCAGGACGACGGTACTAGGACTACTGCTGCTGCTGTTGATCGTTGGACCAGAGCGATCAACGTGCATGTTCCGTGCAATGGCGCGATCAGCGGTGAGTAAACTTGATTCGTTTCCAGCTCGCCCCAAAACAAAGCAGTTACTTGAAGCTTGCTTCATTTTAAATCATCGCATTGTTTCAGTCTATCAACTGCACTACGATAAATTTTAAATTTTTTTTTTTGATACGTTCCTTCCTTCCCGTCACACTTTTTAGTTTTTAAGCATCTCTCATCCACATAATTCCATGCAGGTACCAACAGTAGATCTTTTAAACGCAGTGATGGTCTTTCCTTCTTCTCCACGCCAACCCGCTCTATATGGAGATATTCTTAATCTTCAGCACAATTAGTGCCCAGAAGTGGTATTACGGCATCTCAAATTTGGGTTATTAAACCGAGACAAAAAAAAATGTAAAATGCAGATACCCAGGGCTATACACATAGAAATATACTATATGCGACACTAGATAAAAACAATGTGCAGCAAAAATATGATCCCTCGACAACCGTCGAATATACTATGCCCCTATACAGAACAGCTCAGAGGTTCCCAGGTGGGCCCCTAAGCCTGAAGTACGTGCACGAAGGCAGAGAAGCCACGCTCGGCTCTACTACGGTGTTAGCTGATGACGAGGAAGTTAACATGGTGACACTTGTTACGTTGTCGCTTCACGGCTCCGATGCTGAAGTAAAGACTGAGAGTTTGAACAAAGGCCGAATGAGGTACGTGAGTTGCACTGGTGATGGCCTTGCCAACGTAGGTACGAGGTGAGAACTAGCAGTTTGGAGTGAGAGTCGTACAACAACCAAGTCCGGAGTTAATCGCACATGCGAGGTCATCCGAGAAGGTGGATGGAAGAAGCCACTGTACCCTTCAGGAAACTGGAGAAGAAGCTGTGTCTTGCCCAACGATTAGGAGGGTAAGTTTGGTGAGCAATGCTGATCCAAGCAATTTGAACTCGTTCGTGGGGTAAGTGACCAACGACATGCTGCGAAAAAAAAAGCCCCATATATTCACATCATCATTCGTTATATCTCTCGTTCCCACACATTCATATCAGCATTCACTACATCTCCCGATACCAATATCCATTACGGCCTAAGCAGCAAAATGGCTAAGGAGCTAAAATTCCAACGCTGAGTTATGGTGATTTCTGGTTTTAACTCAATTATAGTGATTTCTGGTTTTAACGCTGAATTACGGTGATTTCTGGTTTTAACTCTGGCTATCCACAGCAGCTTATAGTCGGAATCAGCCACCACTCTGGTCTTGACGAGCACACCGCTGTTTATGTTCTTTCTGTAGTCGAGAAAGAACGTTTTATTCTTCAGAAGGGTAACGGCGAGACCGCTTTACGAATGCTACACCAAATGATGATGCCGACCAAACAACCTCCGCAAATAATTGAGACGGATTTTGGGCGTGCTACCAGCAGCAGCAACAGCGTCAACACAAAACCAACAAGACCCTGACGTGAATGTTCACTGTTCTTATCCGTTTAATGGTCAATAAAAAAAGTTTCCAAACTGTGAGTACACACACGTCAGAAGCATCGCCTACGATCTCAGCTA